GCCCCTCCATTGCTCGGCCAAAAATCAAAACACAAAGCGTTTAAATTTCAACGATCTGTACGCATTCGATATAATTTGCATAATATTTTAATTTTGCATACTTATTGGCGCATAATTAGGTGGCTGTATTTGTTGGCAGGACCCGTGGATGAGGCGGGCTTTATTGTTTGGCTTCCATCCCAAAAAATATGGCATCCGAGCAGATTTCAGTTTTTCATTTTAATTCGAACTTAATTTTTGAAATGTATAAATATGAAATATATACATTATAATCCGCAGTTCTCCCCAAGCATTTAGTAGAAACCTCACCTCGCTGTGTATTTCTTATTTACGAGCTGGCCACGTACAAACGCGCATTTTTAATGGACTCTGCGGAGCACTCCCGCGACCTCCATCATCGATACACTCAGATATACAGCGACCGGGTGCAAATCGAACGAACATTTTGGGCGCCAGATAGTGTTTGTCTAAGATCCACAGCGGTGTCCCATTGCCGGGGTACTTTTTTTTTTGCAGACCCTCGCCCCGGCTCCAATTTTTTCTCCTGCCCGCTTCAGGACCAAACGAACGAACACAAACACACACTCGAGCTGCTGAGCGTTGCCGGATATTGGCTTCATACACCGCCAGCCAATTTTAAATTGCCAATATTGATTTATACGCCGCATGCGTTGCTGCCACATGGGGTACGAAAGCCGTGCCAAGGGGCTGCCGACTCCCGCGTCCAGACTCCCGGTGTCGGTTTGCCGGGAGTGGAGGTCCTTGAGTCCTGGATTCGTGGCTCTTTGCCTCGCCCTGTTCATGGACCCTCCGAAGCATTGTTAAGTTGCAATTTTGCAGGTGGCTGTCGGGGATGCATTGCCGAAGACGGACGTGGGCAAAGTAAATGGCCAGGGGATTTCAGGTAGTTAACGCTACCAGAATTTATTGGCCGGGCTTTAATAGTTCCACCCGCATGCAATGCAAATGTGCTTCAAAATGCACAGTAAATAAAATTGCACTCTAATTGGGAAATGTGAGGGTTTACTGTGCGAAAACCTAAAAATTGTTTGACCTACCCGGCGGATACGTAATCTGTTGAATTTCTTTTGAAATTTATTCAATGTATATTTTGAAATAATTTGTGTCAAAGAGGGACTTATAAAAGATCAGTAAAAACATTTTTTTCAGTGCAAAATCATATGAGTTTGCTGCGTAGAGTCCTTACATATAGTATTACTTAACCAAAATGCAATTGGATATGCCATCAAAGCGAAAAAATCATTTGGCCGCCGCTTCTCCTCGCCATATCCTTTTAATTTCCTCTCCCCCATCCCCAAGGCACACTCCCTGACTTCCTTGGCTTGTGATTTCCCAAATCCCATTTAAGAATTCCCTTTGTGGGAGCCAGGGATACCCGGAATTCTGTCTCACCCACAACAGTTGAACAAACTCCTTTGCATAATTCATGCAAAAAATTCAACACAACTCGTATTCGAGTCCCACTGAGTTGCTTGTATATTTTCTCAAAGCTGATCCTGCTTCTGCTTCTGTGGGAGATGTTGTCCTTTGATGAAAGCAGGTCTAAACGTGCTTTAAGTTCCGATTCCAACAGACATAAGGTGATACCCGTTGCTAAGTATTTAGAAATGGCAAATGGCAGCTCTGCATAATGAATTTATAAGACACTCTCTTCGTGAAACTCTAATAAAAGCTTACTTTGCATATCCTTACTCCACTTATTATCAATATCTGCTGTTGCTGAAATGATCTTTGCTGGGGCCCATTTTTATTCTTCAAACACTTCTATTTAGGGGTCCTTGCTGGCCTTTTTAAACTATTAACTTTTAGGGGCAGCACCTGGGAAATAAAAATAAATTAATTGCCCGCTTCCGTAATGAACGTCATTATAAAGCTGTCAACTGCATTCAGTACTGTATTATGACCTGCTCTGACACATAATGACTTTTTTCCTTGCTTTCACATTTATTGAATATTTTTTTTTATAATACAGCATAAAACTTTTGTTTTAATTGTGCAGAAAATGAATGGGTTGGACCTTTTTATTTAACAATGACAAAAATAAATAGCAACCTTAATGAATTTCCACATCAAACAAAGGGAACTGAAAACATAATTCACGTTCATCATCTTTCAGCCATTTAAATATCGCATAAAAATAATATTAAAATTCCGATCAAAGAGTATTGCCATAAAATAAAGAAAAGGAATTGCAAGAGGGAATATCCAAATATAAAACATAATGGTAAAACTAATTTAACAATTACAAAAATTCGTTATACTTGAATATATATTTACAGCTAAAGCCTTTTATTTTGTGGCTGCTGCCCCAACTTGTTGCAGTAAACAACGTTATTAATTCATATCGCCAAATTAGGTTTATACATATTTGTCTTGCTCCTGGCCATGACAAAGCGGCGAGGGCGAAAAAGAAAAACACCCAAAACGAAAAATGGTAATACGTTTTCCATTAAATTTAATTTGCATGGTTTTAGGCGCAATCCGCTTCCGTCTAAGCTCTGGCTGTGGCCTAAATTTCATTACGCGTAAAATATGATTTGGTTTTCACTTCCTATTTGCATACCCCGTCGAGGATATTGGATTTTCAATTTGTCGTTAGAGAAAATATTGCTCTGATGATTTTAACAAATAAATTATAAATTTACTAAATGTATTTCCAAATGAAAACTTGTAGTGAAAATAGACTTATTAATGATATATCTCCTTAAGGTTTTGTATTAATAATTAGCTAGTTGAAGTTTCTAAATCTTTATTACATATTTATATATATATATATGTATTTCTATACAACACTGTTACTGGCTGCATACAAACAAAAAAAAAAAGAACAAGTGCAATTTCTAAAAGGACGAGGAGGAAGCTTAGCATTAACCTTAAAGCGTGTAGTGGCGACTGAAGACCCTGCCACGGAAATCAGCCTAGAAGGATGCTACGCTTTATGTGAAGCCTAAGCCTAGCTTCGCCAGTTTTGGCGATCACGTAAAGGTGGTCAAGCGACTACGTAACAAAGCTTTGAGCAAGCTTGCACGTGCCGTAATGTAGAGCTGCATTTAATTAAAACGCGTTTTGGCATATTTAACAGAGAATTTACATTTGCTCTGAAGACGAAGAAGAGCGCATTTGCCAATTAGGAAATTTTTTCAAGCAGACTTTCCGTTTCCGTGGGAGGTCTTTTTAAATCAAGGTCTAGAAGAGCATAGACGTGTCGGGTGCTCGTAATTATCAATAAATCAGACAGTGGCAGTGAATCGCGTAAACCAAGTGTTGAAGTGGCCGCTGAAAGCTTCGCAGAAAAAGTGAGTAGAGAAGTGCCAAATTTGTGGGGCACAGTGAGTAACCTTTTTGTTGCCCAGGTTAGGAAAACTAGAAAATTGGAGGCAGCAAAGCAGCGTCGACGCACGGCCAGGGCCAAAGGTCGACAAGACCTTTCGCCAAGGGAAAATCCCTTAATTTTGTTACCAGGGCTCAAGCCAGCGGGTAATTATGAAAATAGAGTGTTTGTTAAAGGCAGTGCTTACTGTTTGAATGGAAAAATTTACAGATTGGGCCCTGCAGTAAAGAGTCAAGTCCCTAGGCAAGGTGTACCCCTAACCTGAGGGGATGAAGTAGAGAAGCTACAACCAGCGCAGGAGGAGCCGATCCCCAGGAAAAATCAGGCCAACAGCGCGGATGCGCAACTCATCTCTTGGCCAGCTTCGTGTCGGGAAAAGCGATTAATTCTTTTTTTTGTGAAAATTTTGCTAACCTCGCGGGTTAACCTTGACCTGACCCCTGTGTTCTAACCTCCTCCTAATGCAAGTGAAGAATAATTTTAAATAGGGTTTACCCTTAAAGCCCATTTTGGTTACTTTTTCTTCTGAGATTTGTGCGAACAATTTGCTCTAACAAAGACAATGTGATTAATGGCCCAAAACATTTGTTAATATTGGCCTTTGAATTTAAAAACTTATGCTCGAATTATGCTCTCGATCTGCTTGCGTCTAGCCGTGAATTTAATGAAGCCGAATAATGAAAATTTATGCTGAATTTCCAGTATTTTAATTTAATTTATTATTAATTTAGTTTTTTTTTTATTTTTACACCTTTATTTTTTACTTCAAATTAAGTTCCATTGTTGCATAGCAAAAAGAATAATAATATAAGAAAAATAGGGCCATTCGGACTTTAACCCCTTTTTTCCAGAGAAAAGCTTCGAGGGAGATCGATCTTCGCCGATGGAAAATTGAGTGAGTCTAAAAAAAACCATTCGAATGAAAACATGCAATTGAAAAAAAAATGAAAATACTTGAAAACTTAAACCATTTAAAAATGATTTAATTTAAAATATACAAAAATAAAATCTCCATAAGCTAATGCAACAATTGAAATTGAAATTGAAATGAACTAAAGACATGAAGTAAATTTATTTTTAATAGTTAATAGAAAAGAGAAAACATGAAGTAAACGAACATTTAATAATACAATTTAAATTTGATTTAAACTTTTAAGAAAAATTATTTCTTTTGAATTTTGTGCACAATTTTTAAACACATATATGTACATCTATGCACCTCCTTACATTTTTACATTTTAATTTTAGCTTATATTTATCTTTGTTAGCTTTAAGTATTGAATTAATTTTATTAAACAAGTTTTAATTTTAAAAATCATGTTAGCTTAAAAACCGGTATATACCGACTCGTAGGATGACTCCACGGTCGTAGGGTCCTGAAGGGATCACCAGAGCCATGCTCTTGCGGCAGGTGATCGTAGGTTGGGTGGGCACAAAGCGAGCACAACAACATCTGTGTCTCTGCATTGTATAGATTTTCTCTCTGTCTTCTCTTCTCTCCACTTCCGCTTTTCTTCTGTCTTCTTTATGTTGTGTGAATTTTGTTTATCATTTCTTCCGGTTTTGTTCTAGCTTTTATTTTGTCGCAGCACGCTCAATTCTAGTCTTTGTAATAATAATGTGTAGTCGTTGTCCGAGATCTGGGTGAGCAAGACCTCCACCCCCAAAGCCGACGAGCTAGAGCCGGAAAAATAAAGCGTGCCCCAGCAGCCCAGATCCTCACCAACCCCGACGAACTTTATGGTTGCACGCTACAAGCGGTCTTAAAGACCGATTTGTATACGATGTTTGAGCAAGGAAAGTCCATTGCATTGCCATGGTAATGCTGCAGCATTAGGGGTCTGGTATAGTCCTTTGTGCGGAAAAGGAGCATCGATGGTGTCCTCCACTTCTGCCCGGGCATCTTCCAGTGCCGCTTTTATTGTTATTTCGCCTGCATCATTATTTCAGTTGGCGCCTTGACTCTGGCAAGTGGAGGTGGAGTGAGTTACCAGCTCCCAGTTCCCGGTTCCCAGCAGGTCCTGCCCCACTTCCGGATGCTGTGGCACTGTCCCTTGGCATTGTGCGGAGCCGCCTTTGCTGTTGTTGCAGATAAAGATAAATAGTCTCAGATAACGCTCAGTTATTTGCAAACAAATACAATTGCGGTTCATTGATGGCGGTTTCATTTTGCCTTTCGCGGCGAAGGCGAAACGAGCTGGTTGTGGAGCCGGTCCGGGCCATTATCCTGCGGTCCTGAGTACTGAACCCTCCTCGCAGCCCGCTTCTAGTCGAGGCTATTCAGATTCTGCTTGAACACGAATTTGTCGAACGTGTGGCAGATGAACTCTGCGTACCATTTGCCAGCAATACTCAGCCATTTCTGCAAAGAAGGGAGTCGGTACATTAGGAGTGGGACCTCGAGTTTATGCAAAAAATGAGCTCAAAACAAAGGGAAACACGATAGTTGCTATTAATATTTATGGCACCTACACGATGGCAGAGTCATGAGTGATATACATAGATAACTCTCTATGCATTAAAGAAACCTAACAAACAATTAAATTTATAGATATGGGGTATTTTAGTGATGAATTAGGAGCAGACAAGGTTGAATAGTTGTGCATCTTCATCGCACTTACCGCTATGAACATTGAATTCTCCGGCTTGAATCCCCAGTAGCCGTGAGTCACTCCCAAAACGAATGCCATCAGGGGCTCCTGCTCGTCCTCATCAATAATGTATTTGAGAACATTGAGGGCAGTGCCCCAGCTTAGACGATGGTGCTTGTACAGGAAAAGGACATCACTGACGATTTGCGCTCGGCTCAGGACATGGATTCTACGGAAGTCGTCGTAGAGAATGGTGGCCAACAGCTCCCAGGTGTGATCGTCATACAGGACCCTGTAGTAGCCCATGGCACGCAAATTAAAGACGATCCACTGATCCTCCGGCACCGAGACCTTTAATTGAACGCTCTTCTCGAGAGGACTCATCCAGGCCTTGGGTCGGACATCGAAGAAATTTGGTCTCCCCTGGACGGTAAAGGTAATGGGGATCCACCATCGCTCCGGCCTGCTCTCGTTGAAGGCGTGGCTCTGCGTTAGGGATACGGAAGTGCCGTTTCGGCTGACCGTCACCAGCGGGTAGCCCTTCTGCTGGGTCCACGTGTCCATAACGCTTTTCAGGGTCTCCTCGATGCGCGGAGCGTCCGATTGCCGTTCCCGGGCTAACTGTAGCGAATGCCAGAAGATATCGGGCGTAGTGCCGGCAAAGGAGTTCTGCCAGAGATGCCGCTGGATGCCGTCGTAGAAGGTCTCATTGCCCAGGAAGCCATTCAGCATGATTATCAGTGCACTGCCCTTTTGGAATAGGGCTCCCTCTAGTTCCTTCTGATCGATTGGCACCAGCGGGGCCAGGGTCATGCCACCAACCTGCGCCTCATACATGAAGGCCATCTCACGGTAGCGAAGCAACAGACGCCGTCCCACACCCGGCTGTACGTGATCCACGCCCAGAGCCTTGAAGTAGCCATTAAGGCCTTCCCTCAGCCAGAGATCAGACCACGAATCGATGCTCATCATGCTGCCAAACCACATGTGAGCGATTCCGTGGGCAGCCAACTGAAGTGCTTGCATCTTTGCCTGCGTCATCGGACCCTCGTATAGTTGCAGCATCTCCTTGCTCCGGTAGACGATTAAGCCCAGGGTGTCCCTCGATGGCGAGGGAATCTTATCAACCACCAGCTGGTCAATCTTGTCTAGTGGGAGCAGTACCCCAAGCAGTTCCTCGAAGAACTGCAGTAACTGGGGCGCCACTTGGGCCACGAAGGAGGTCTCGGGCACATCGCCGCCCCGCGAGCAGGTGCGAAAATGTATTGGGCTTGAACTGACTGACTGACTGAAGCTGCAGGTGAAATTGTTCACGGAGAAGGCCAGCAGGTAAGTGGGTATCGCTGGTGTCACCTCGTGCACTGACCACACATAGTCCGGCAGTTCCGGGCTAATCAAAGGGGAGAATAATATGTACTACAAAGAACAAATAGATTTTGGGTACTCACTTCGGCAGTATCGCTCGGACCTTCATATTGCTGAAGCTTTGGAAGCGCTTGTGATGTCCCATAGTGACATTAAAGGTTGCCCTAAGGGCGGGCTCATCGAAGCTGGGCATAGTGTTTCTGATATAGTTCCGCTCGAAGAAGCTCAGCGAGTACAAGCTGCAAGGGAGGATGTGTAAGGTAAGTTTTGGGCTCTGGGACATGGAATTGCTTACTTCTTTTGCCATGTCCTTGGATTTGCATAGCGGCCGATGAAATAACCGTCAGTGCTGTGCTCTGTCATCCGTCGGCCAAAAGGGATGCTCACGATATAGGTTCTGCCCATCGTGAGGCGCCTATTGAACTTCAATATCATATATTGCCGATCCGTGTTGAACTGCACCTTTCTCAGCCACACATCCTCAGACTTGAGCAGGCTGATTTTATCCGCTTCCACCTTAACGTCACCGACATGGAGCACCACCTGTTCGGTAGGTCTCTGCACGTATATCGAGATCTTTACTGTGCCCTCGTACCGGGACCCTGCCAAGCTCTCCAGATGCGTTATTAAGGTCAAATCGTAATGGAACGGCACCACAGAGACTGGCAATCGTGGGTGGTCGTAGATTGAAGACGACATTGCCATATGGCAGACGACCAGTAAGAGCAAAGAGTACAGGAATCCATGAACCTTAAGGGGACATATCGACATTCTGATTAAATACTTTCCACTCGTCCGCAGACCTGAGATTCATCAAAGGAAAGTAAATTTTGTAATTTTAAAGAAACAGACAATTTATGAGAATTCTGACAAAAATAGAATCGCTTACTGTTGGGCTAGATGAGTATTGTTATTATTATCATCCTTAGTTCTTTTGTTTTTTCGTACAAATGAGTCACGTTTGCTGCGAATGATATGTGGTATTTAAAGATCAAATCAATGGGAATGCTTTCAGTTTACCCGGGGCTCTGGCTTCGAGGATTTTAATATGCGACCATTTCAAGTGGGAAAGAAGCGATTCAAAAGTAAAAGTTACACTCGCAGGACGTCTTGGCAGCGTCTTGACTTACTTTCCAGCTTTCACTTGGGGGCTGGCAGAAGTTTTGCAACTTTCTGCGATACGTGCGTGTGTCGATTTGCCTATGTGCGACTGAGTGTCTGTAACGGTGCGTGTGCGGGCCGAGCGCCAAAAAGTATGTTAAGCACTTTGGTCCCAGTTTGCAGGCGCACTTTTGGCACAGCCTCGAAATGCCATATATGTAGCTGCTCGAACGTATTCGTATCTGGCCTGCGATTTATACGTGCATGTAATATGTGTAATTTATGACTGGCGGGATGTGTGCGCTTAAATTATGTGCAAAATGCTCACAAAAGCCGCCTGGCTTTTGGGGGCTAACAAACTTTGAGTCAAAACTTTGGCCGCAGCCCCTTCACCGAATGCCGGAATATTGACAGTCACGTGTGGATTAGTTATCGGACTCGAGCTGCATATGGCCTTGCATATTCCAACCCGACGTGTTGAATAGATTTTCCACTCCCAGGGGGTATTTTTTCCTTAAAGATACAACAGTTGAAGCATTCGCAGCATTCATTTATTTTAATACTACAGTGAAGCCAATATTACATTACAATAATAAACTAAATAATTTAGTTAGTATTGAAGCAAAATATTTGTAGAATTTTTCTTAATCTCAGTAAATAGCTGTGATCATTAAGAACAAGAAATATTGGAATTTATTTAATACAAAAAGTAATTATAAAGTCTATTCTCACAGAGACAACATAAGCACTTCTAAATGAAATGACCACATAGGTGTGCTAAATGAATTAGGAATTTTCATTTGTTTCCCCAAGTTTGGTTTGAATGAAAACCTAAACCTTTTCAGACTGAAATTAGTTCAAGAATGTGTGTGGAGGTATGATATCATTGTTAGGGCCTCCCGAAAAAGAAACCAAGCTCCATCAGATTATGCTTTATGCCCCTCAGCACTTTTCCAACGCATTTGTTCATCTCAGTCCGAACCCTAAATGAATTTTCATTTCCAATTACTTTACGATTTTGCCTTTGTGTGCCTGATGACTTGTCCCTGTCCACCCCTCCGTCCGGACTCTTCCCCATCCGATACTGGTGGCATTACAATTCGATTTCCTAATTTTCAATTTTACACGTTTGGCAAACACTCGAGTCGAACAGCCCAGATCGAAAACAGGACAAACGCCCAAAGCCCAACCTAGTCCTCATCCTCATCCGCATCCGCATCCAAATCTGCATCCACATCCGCATCCCCCTCATACCCTTTCAATCGCTGCGCTATCCGTATGCAGTGCCAGGCCAGAGACTTTTGAGAAATTTTAATTAAAATTGAATTTTCTTGCATTTAATTAAAAGCTTAGCTGGGGCGCGCATGAAAAATGAAAGGAGCCAAAGAAAAACTCTGCTCGATGTGGATGCGGATGCGGCAGGAGCTGGGGCAGGGGCAGGGGCATGGGCAGGGCACTCGAGTAGAAGAGCATGCACTCGCAGCGCCAGGGAGAGAGATATGGGAATCATCATCATCATCCTCAGCCGGCTAAGGATGGACCGCCCGGCATCCGTTGCCCAAGCCCCCATCGCAAAAGGAAACGGAGCTGAGGAGGATATTTTCGTTTGTTTACCCAGGCTGTGATGCAGGCAGCCCTGTACCCGGAACCGGGGCTAAATGCAACACTGACAGCTACTGTCAAAATAAGCAACTAATCTCCCTGCTGCAATATTGTTTGACAGGCTCACAGCTCGCATGCAAACAACCCACCCACACCCACAAAAGGCCACTGATATTTAAGGGCTGTCGGTTGTTCAATTGATTTTCACTGGAGACAACTGCCCAACATTTTCTGCAGTTTCTGCTTCTGTGCAACAATCATCGGCCAATTGGATTTTGCGCTGCGGCTGGCTAATTAAGTTTTTCAGCTTCGCTTCCCGCAATCCCCTCGAAATGTGCCTATGCCGCAACATTTTCCACTATTTCCGGCCACGAAAATGCATCGCAATTTCGGATCGGATCGGAAGTGGCGACCAATTGGCAGCCATAAAGGGTTATCACATTTTTGAATTGAAAACCCCATGTTTCCAGGCTCTAAAGCGTCAAAACCTTTTGGAAAAACTCGGAATTGGAAGTTGGGGTTCGTTAAAGGATCAAACTGATTTACTATTTAATAATATGACCTCTAACTGTTAGTTATCTTTCCTTAAGCAGCAGGATTTCTCCAAGCCAATGAATGAACATTTAATTTTTTCATATTTTCCAGCTCAGGCTCCGAAAAATGCCACACAAATTGTTCTTGTGCCAACCAACTGACCAGGCGGCAAGCGATCAATGGGTACTTGTCCTGCTGCCGAGATAGTGCGGCTAAAGCCACATAATTGTTTTAAATTTTTCATAAATTCCCCCGCAAAATGCTGCACGATAAAAATGCGGCACACAAACCCAGCTGTCGTAGGTAAATTTTCGAGTCTTGGCTTTCCAGCGCCAACGAGCCGGCACTCCTCGAGATCCGGCGGCCAAGAGCTGAGATCCAACGCCTGGGAAAAGCGGAAAGCGGGAAAGGGGACCGGGGACCGGGGACCGACTGCAGCGATAGCATAAATAGTTTAATATAAAACGCAGACAAAGGCCGGGGACCAGAGCCCTTAGCTCATCTCATGCCCGCATAGTTCGTGCAACCCGCTGCCGAAGTTTGTGAAGCGTTTCTTTTGTCCTGCGGCAGGAGGGAAAATATTTAATGCACCCACAATATTTTGCTTGGCTGGCAAGTGATAATGCACCGGCCTCGGGCCGCAAAACTGGATGGTCCCCATCCTCCAGGGGCTGCCTTGGCCTTTGGCAGGAGTACAAAGGACCGGTCTGTCGAGCCACCGAAGCCACCGAATATCCGAGGGACGAGCCAAGTGGGCGCTGGTCGTCAAAGGAGCCGATTCGCTTTTTATATGCATATTCAACAGTGTGGAAATAATAAAGCCAACTTGCCGAGAGTTATAGTTGCTTCTCCAGTTGTCTAGAGATAGTCGAGATGCCGGAATCAGGAGGCAGGAAGCCGGAAGCACTCATTGTCGGCCCAGACATTGCCAGAAAGGAAGCAGGGAACTACGGCATCGAGTCCTTGGACACTGTACTCTCTTCCTGGAATCAATGGAACGCCCGATTTTCGATTTCACCTACTATTTGCTTCTGTTTTGTAGTCAGAAACATAATAAGGTAATATTTATAAATTATCTTATATGCATTTTTATATTTTTGGTATATGTTAAATGCTCTCAAAGTAATCTTTATTTCCTCTAAAAATTGTAACCAGACTAGACTTCGACTTCGGTGATTTTAACAAGGAATACTTTTAGAATTGAAATGTGTCAAAATGGAAATTGTATATTTAGGCAACATGCCGTTACTTATCAAGTCATTTTGCACATCAGCTCTCCCACTGACATAATTAAATATGTGTTTCCTGCGAAGACGAGGTGGCAAAAGACGACTGAACGACGATTAGGTGATTTGTCATTCAGGACACGCTTTAATCGAACCCACCGGTCGCTCCTGCATGCCGAGCCACCGAAATTGAAAGTGACATTTATGACACAGACGTTGCTGGCGCGACAGCATCGTTTCTATCAGCAGCGGCATTATCCTGACGATGCGCTGCAGCATTTGGTCCTGCGGCACTGATTTGAATTCTGTCAACAATTTCACAGCTCGCCGACATCTGAGAAGGTGGAACGAGACGCTGATTGGCCACCTCTTTGGAACGGGGAGCGGAGCAAATTTAATTGTTGTCAATCTGACATTGCCAAATTAGAGTTGGCTGACGGCTGTCTCCGTTCGTTTGGCTTTGTTTTCTCCTCTGGCAAAGCCTGGCAAGTTCTTTTCCCCAATCTAGCTTTATTTTTATACCCTTGCAGGGTATTATAATTTCAGTCAGAAGTTTGCAACGCAGTGAAGGAGGCACCTCCGACTATATAAAGTATATATATTCTTGATCAGGATCAACAGCCGAGTCGATCTAGCCATGTCCGTCTGTCCGTCTGTACGTTTCTACGCAAACTAGTCTCTCAGTTTTGAAGCGATCTGAATGAAACTTTGCAGTTAGTCTTCTATATTCTCTCACTCGTATATGTCGGAACGGGCCGGATCGCACGACTATATCATATAGCTGTCATAGGAATGATCGGAAAAGTTTTACAAAAAAAATTATAAAATTTTTAGTTTTCAACAGAATTTAATCAAATTTGAGATATAGCCATTTCATATTATTCTACAATTTTGTGTAAAATTTTATGAAAATCTGACGACTATATCATATAGCTCCCATAGGAACGATCGAGAAATTAATTCAATTAATAAGTATAACATTTTCAGTTTTCAACAGATTTTCATCAAATTTGAGATATAGCCGTTAAATATTATTCTACAATTTTGTGTAAATTTTTATGAAAATCGGACTAATATATCATATAACTCCCATAGGAACGATCGAGAAATTTGAGGGAAATGAGAATGGCGGTGGCTGTTGTCGGAAGACTGAGAATCGCGGTGGCGATAACATTTTTAGTTTTCAACAGAATTTAATCAAATTTGAGATATATCCATTTTATATTATTCAAAATTTTGTGTAAAATTTTATGAAAATCGGACTACTATATCATATAGCTCCCATAGGAACGATAGAGAAATTAATGCAATTAAATTTATAACTTTTTCAGTTTTCAGCTGATTTTCATCAAATTTGAGGTATAGCCATTTTATATAAGTCTTAAATTGTGGCAAATTTCATAAAAATCGGACGACTATATCATATAGGTGCCATACAAACGATCGTTTGATGTAGAGGAAAAATGCAAATCTGTGAATGTAAAACTGCAAATACATATAATATGTATAGGTGAATGAAATGAAAGCAGGTATTACTTCATTGTTTTTTAACACAAATATATATAATTTATATTCTATGGATTCCTATTCATAGAAATTCTATCTGCAAGGGTATATAAACTTCGGCGAGCCGAAGTTAGCTTCCTTTCTTGTTTTCAAATTATTTTCCATAGATTATACTTTTTGGGTGGCATATCGATCATATAATATCATTTTAATAACGAAAATCCATGCACATTTGTAAATTAAATTCTAAACAAACCTAAAAGTGTCTCCAAAAGAAGTTAAACTACATACTTGCTTTGGAACTCAATTTTAAATTGAAAGCATAAATACTATAATGTATTAATTATGTCACTTTTGTCTGCATAATTGCAGTTTTTTCTTTAAGAAAATTTATCTTCACTGTTGGGCAGTGGTCATAATCAATCTCACTGTCTATCTTTGTCTGCACTCCAACATAAGTTTGCCGTTTTCAATGTCATGGCTATAGAAAATTGCTGTCTTCCTCCTGCTCCTGACATTGGCGGCCTGCGGGCACTCCTAATTTGTGTTCCTCTTTTTGTTTTCCTTGCTTTTCCCTTCTGCAATATTTTGATTTGGGCCATAATTATTTTTCTGGTTCCTTTTGAAATGCACGGGACGTGAAAGCCGGCCCGACCCCTCAGTGCATTTCGGCCCCACCTACGACGTATTCCCCTGGATGTGGCAACATTTTGCTTGTCACGCAAATGTTTCGTGTCAGATTTTCCCTGCTCCGGCTAGCTTCCTGCAGGAAAAATTTTTAACCGCATATATACCTCTGCACAGTTTGCCATACTCTTCATAAAAGGCTTTATGTATGCAGCATTAGTATGTAAGAACCATGCCCGGTGGAAAGGCAGCGCGGCACGTCGACGGACCACTTGCAGGAAGTCTGATACCCACTGCCAACTGACCCATGTAACAACTCATTTTAGCAAGAGGACTCGCCTGACGCTACTGCTTCAAAATTTGGGGAAAATGATGGCAGTACAGGATGGAGTACAGGATTATATACATTATAAACAATAACTTACTTATTAGATTTGCATTATTGTAATCGCGCATACAAGTTTGCATACAATATGAATTCTCAATAAGAAACCTACGTTAAGATTGCTCAGCTGCAAGTATTAAATTTGGTTCTACATTACCTCTTTTGAAATGTTTGAAATGTTCTTATTAAATATTTTGGAAGTGCAACAACTGTTAATATATATGTTTTGAATGCATTTTCAATGCTCTACCAACCACTGTGCATTTCCCGCAGCACGTTCTCCCGGTCGCCAGCTATATTTTTCAATTTGTAAACATATCCTGCGGTGCCGGCGCTGAGAGTCGGTCTGAAAAGGGGGCGGCATTAGCCAGCATCTGGCCACACCCACGTCGCGGCTGGGATGAAATGCATTTGCTTCATTTGTTTGGCGTGTATTTCATGTCAACTTAATGTTTATTAGAAAACGTCTACTCAAATTGCAGGAGCCTGGGGGAAGGCAAAGGACGCGGCGCCCTGCCCCCTAGTTTGCAGCTGTCAAACGATGCCAACCTTGCGCAGGGAGCTCATTCATCAAGCAACGGAAGCTAAAGCCAGAAAACAGTTTTTAATACGCCATTTTGCTCTTTTTTCTCGCTTATTTTAGTTGTCTCAAAGTCAACTTGAATTCGCTAAAATAGCCAGAAGGTAAATACCTTTATTCGGCCTTCCTCTGCTGGACTTACATGACAGCTGAGTTCAGAAGTTATGCTTTGATGAAGACTTTATGCCTTTTAAAGAGCTACAACGTGTACATTTTGTTTATGTAAAAGAAAAGATCGTTTTCATTATAGATTTGTTGATCTACCCGAGTATTTTGAACAGCTTTCACAATCTCAAAATACCCTTAAAATAGTTTCCCATTTTACAGCAAGATTTGCAGATATTATTTGCAAGAAGTCTATCGTGTCGTAAAAGACTTAAAGTGCTCAATTGCTTCTCCAAAAATGCCTTTATATCTATAATCTTTTAATCACGTTTACAATTTTCGCTGCCCCAGTTGAATGTTCCACCTGTGCAGGTGATAGTTGATCCAGTCGCTCATCCGGGATACATCGGTGTAGACGCCCGGGGTTCTAAAGGTGCCACAGCCGATGCCATAGGTGACAATTCCGGCTTGCTCAAAGCGTGAGGGGTCATTGGGCAAGGGACACACAAGTGGAGAGCCTCCGTCGCCCTTGCAGCTTGCCCTGCGGTTAAGGCTTTCTGCGCATATTAAATAAGGTGAGACATTTCTTCCAAATTTTCGTTGGCATGCTGTCTTGTCTATCATGTTCACATCTATCTTCTTGAGAACGTTGGGGTAATCCTTCGAGTCCGCCTCCATCGGGCCCCAGCCGTTGAAGAGGCAGTGTCTGCCCACGAAGCTGGTGTTTTGGGAGGGCAGACACACTGTCCGGATGTTTGCCTGCACTGGGAAGTGAGCTTTCAGGATGAGCAGAGCTATGTCATACTGCCCGCTGTAGTTGTTAAACTTTAAATGCGAGATCACCTTTTTCACACCAAGGTCTACGTGCCCGTATATCTCCTCCGTGGTGGACACATTCCATTCGCCGGCCCTTACCAACAAGTCGTCCTCGCCAATGCCGTTCAATATGTGTGCGGCAGTGAGGACCACATTCGCCGCGATCAGGGAGCCGCCACCAATATACCGGGTCAGTCCATCCCTTCGATCCAGAACTGCCATCATCCAAGGGAACTCACCAGGTCGAGCGCCTCCCGGAATCAAGCCAATTTTACTCTCCAGACCATTTTGGTTATACTTGCCACAGCCAGTTGCCTGCAACAAATGTGCAAGACTGCTTTTACGGCTGCTTCAACTTGGCTATATCTTGTTCAGACTCACACTTTCCCCAGCGTCACAGCTGATCAGCAGCCCCAAGAGCAGCACCCACAACAGCGTCATTGCTCAGTCGCGAACTCGGAATGAAATGATCCAGAGCGTAATCGAAACGCTCAGTAGGTCGATTCCAGCCTTCGTCATTATCAGTTCAATTTTATAGGAATTGAGTCACAATTCTCGCAATCCAGAAATCCGATCACAAGCTTGACTTTAACTTACCATTATTGTTGTTAATTTCACATTAATAGTCTGGTTTACTCGCTCTTAATAAATATATGTACATATGAATGCTTATCAGCTATGATTATAGAGAGAATATATGTTTAGAAATACTTACATATACTGTATAATATTCCTTGAATAAACTCTGCACTTACATACTGCATTTTTCTCATTAATCGCTTTTCGTGGAATTCATCGTTTAAAACTTTTTTCTGATCTCGGTGATCTTTTAAAAATAAAAACAACAAATCCAAACAAGAATATGTTTATTATCGTTCTTGATTTGATGTTACTGTTTTTTTCGGATTATAACGTTATATTAGATTGTGAGAGGCGGCGATGTGTAGTCGATCTTTGCTAAGTTTTCCTGGACGCGAATCAAGGTTCCCTTTCTGCAGGGCTTTGATATGTCAAAAAGTGATCTTGACCACTGCCACCTGCCTCGCATCCGATCACTCTTTGAGCAGACAAAGAACCAGTGCCGCATGAAATTTGGACAGTTCAGAAACGTATTATTTATCAAGATTATATAAAACACTGCAATGTTAATCCTGCAAACGGAGTTGCCACACATAACTACCCCACAAATAAAATATACATTAATAAATTTATTAATATATTCTGTTTTTTTTGGACTGTGAAAATTGTATTGAACGTTAAAGTGGAATTGAAATTAGATCCTTGAACCTTTTTTTTTCAGCATCCCGGTCCGCACTGGGAACCCTGGCAGATGTCGCAGAGTGATGATTGCACCTGGTAGTACTCGGTGCACTTGCGCTCTGGGGCGTAATAGTCGTAGAGAACGACATATGCCGGCCTCTGCCTGGCCACGTCGTGAGTCCTGGCTGCTTCGACAGTAAGGCATTTGGGGTCGAAGGGGTCAGGCGCTCAAAGTATATAAACACATGCGAGTCGGCGTTCTTCGTCTCCACGAGCCTCACGCTGGGAGTCGACTGGATCTTGGCGAGGGCCTTGGCATCGGCTACGTAACCGGAAGGCAGCTGGACCTCCATGAGAGCCATGTTGGATGGCTTCCTCCTCCCCGACGCTTCTCTGGGGGTGTATTCGGCGCAGATGTTCAGCACCAGACGGTTCCTCGGTGAGTCCATTACCGTGGGTCTGATGCGGAAGCTGGGCTCCGGGTCCTTGGTGGCCACGTTGTACTGGTACGCGAGCTGGACAAGGGCTGATCCGTAGCCTCGGGCCGAGAACTGCACCTTGCGAGTCGATTTTGGCACCTCGCGGGTCTGTAGCTTCAGTGCATTCTCTGGCCTGACCTGGACAATGGACCTGGCAGCGTGCTCGGGGCGCAAGAAAATATCCATCTGTCCAACGGGTGATCTGGCTTGTAAAGAGAACTTGGTTAGGGCCTGCAGACCCATTATCGTGTCCTGGGAGGACTCAAAGCCTCCGTTACTGTTACGCTGCGCAATCAGCCACTGGACAACGGGCATGGGATCTACCGCCATGCCTTTCTCCAGCATGGCGAGCAGGATGTAGGATGTGATTTCAACGTTCTTGCTTTTGCTGTTGGGGGACATTTCCCACCACTGAAGGCCGTTCTCCTTCCTGGCCATGCCGTCCAGCCTAGTCAAAAGAGTGTTGCCCTTGTTGTGGTCTGCCTGTTGCAGAGCCAGAGCAGCTAAGGCCAGACTATAAAGATCACCTGATGTCTCCACATCTGCGGCTATAAATTGTACGGCTTTGTCAATTACATTTCTGTATGCTGGGATATGTTCCTACGGATAAATTATAGAGTGGGGAAAAATATTATTACAAATATGCGAAAATAAGTGCTTCTCATTTCTTGAGAAACTAAAACACTATTCAAACTCTCACCTGATTCTCTAAAAATGCCAGCAACACGAAAGATGTAAGCGCCCATTTACTCCCATAATTATTATCGTATAGAGTGCCTTCTTCCTCGAACTCGCCGCTCGCAAGCTGCCTGGCCGCAAGAAAGTCGAGTCCAGCAGTCAGGATTCTAGGCTCGACGACAGTGTATTTATTGGCCTGGTGAAAAGATCGCAACACAAATGCCGTGAGCCAGGTGCTGCCTATCTGGCAACTTTCAAATGTTCGAAAAGAGCCATCATTTTTCTTGAAGGTCAGCTGTCGCTGATAGCCAATATTCAAAAAGTCTTTGGCTTTAGCGGCTGTCTCCGGTTCGTTGCGGTTGGTGGCGTCTAGGAGGCGGAGCACCAGGACGTTGGGCACAAAGTTTATCATGTTTTGCTCTCCACAACCGGTGGGCAAACGCACCAATCCATGTAGGTTGTCAAGAACAGGTGCCTGGATATCACCACCTACATTTAATAATACAACCTCAGAGTCCTCCACAGCTTCTGGTGGTAACTCCACTTCCAGAGTCTTCTCTGGGGCCTCCAGGCTCCGTCGGTGTAATCGACTGTTGCGGTTCAGGTTGACGAGGACGGGTCGGTTGACGTACTTAGTCACGCCATCAGGCTCCACCTTCAACATCTGCTCGATGGAGTCAAAGGCCAGCGGGGAAATGGCGGTGATCTTCAAGGAGATCAGTCCTACCTTCTTGGGACGGATCATAAACGAGAAGCTCCTGCCACTGTTGGCGGGAATGGTGACCCGTTTGAGTCTTTTGTTTAGTTGCATGGCCTTCACAGAATTGGCATTAACGGCTTCAGTGAACTCATACTTCTGCTCGGAGTTGTCCATCGTCACGGTCGCCAGTACTGGTTCATCCATGAAGTTGAACACCACCACAGGAATGGCAATTATTTCACCTGAAGGAGAACAAATGGGTTTTAGAAAAACAATATCCAAAAGTTATTACATTCCGAAGAGAGATTCGATTAATCGGAAAATAAATAAAGTCATGTGTTCTTGAGTCAACTTACCTCGTTTTACAGAGTATGGTAGGTTAGTTGAAATAAAAAACGGCTTGAAGACACGGATTCTGGTTGGGCTGTTGGTTAACGCAATGCCGGAAATGGGATTCAGGGAAAATCCAGTGATGACCCACGAGGTAATAGTATCTGGAATCTTCGCCGTCAGGTTTCCATAATTAGAATCAAAGCTATGGGTTGGTAAATACAGAGATTGATCAGTCTGTATGTTTGATGGTACAAAAGTGAAGGAAGTCTTACTCGGCTATATTTGAAAACAACCAGGTCTCTGGAAACTCCTTACGAATCGGAGGTTGTTTCTCCTGTTCGGTTGTTTGGACAGTGGCCACAGGAGCAGGGTGTGGACCTGCTAGTATTTAACTTTAATTAGCAGAACCATTCCGGAAAACGAGACCCAGCTTACCTGATGTATTCTTTCCTCTAACATGACGAGGGGTATATAGCCCGTTTTCACAGGTTCCCTGATCTTATAAATAAAAGGTTAAGTATAGTATTAGTTACATCGATGGAGTTGTACGAGTAAATATCTTACCCCACTGTTCATCGTTGTCTATTTGGGCATTGGTTAGGGTCACCAGCCCGGGAGTTGCAAACTTGCCAAGATCGTTAAAGATTTGGTCACGGCTAAGGTCGTTACCGGACCTCAGAAGCAGCACACTCTGGTCGACGCCCAGTAGCCCCACGAAGGAGTGGGGATCGGTCTTCACTCTCAGATTAACTGTTTCGCTGGGTTCAGCACTTTCCTGCGCATTAATTTCAATCTGTGGGCAGTGTCAAGGGTGGGACTGAGGGTTAGACTGGGAAACGACGCTTTGAGTGGTGTCTTACCGAGTTGCCGAAATCCTTCTCAAAGTCGATCTTCAGTTCGTCGGAGCGCATGACTCCATCTTCTACGTAGTGTACGTAAATCGTGGCTTGAGGAACCATATCGAAGGTGGGCATGAACTTAACGTTTCGACTCATTTGTCCGGGCTTCACAGACACATACTGATGAAATAAGATGTTGCCGCGAGCGACGATAGTGAACATGAAGTACGGAAGGTCACCGGTCGAAACGACATCAAATGAGACAAGTTTCTTCAGCCTGGGACTGTAGTCGAAGGTAATACAAAGTGTTGGGACATAACGGCCAATACTCACCTGACTGTGTTCAGCTCGATCTTTAGTGATTTGTCAAGCCTCGAAATAGTTTGTATGTGATCCTTAGCGTCCTTAAATGTAACAGTCACATGGAAGCTTCCACATAATATATCCGGCAGCATTGTCTTTGCAATGGCGATACCTGCCTCGTTCACTGGGACTGAGAAACTTCGCGAGGTTCCACAGCATTCGAACGTGAAATGTACCTGCTCAGACGAGGAGCTGATGGGAGAGCCGTCTAGATTTCTGACAATAATGGGAAATTGGGAGACCTTTCCCGCCCTAAATCTCTTTGGCCAAAAGGCGGACTCCAGCCGGTAACGATGCTGGTGAAGGGTTACATAGTTGGAGCCGCTATGCCGGAGGTCTGTTAGATCCTCGGTCACTGTGGCGATAATTTTCAGGGGAGACGGGTCGGTGTCCGCGAAGGGGAGCTCAACATTGACCTGGCCGTCAATGTCGATGGTCCGCTCCTGCGCTTTGCCCTCAATCGATACAGTGACCTTGCCCTTGACCGGCTTTCCGAAGGTGTACCTAGCCCTGATCGTCGCTCTGACGCTTCCTGCGTTGGCCAGAACGTCGTTGGCTGTGTGCACGGATACCTCGAACTTGGGCAATACGTACTTGTCTACCACGAAGACTTTTGACTCACTGCCCTCGTCCTGCATCGAGACGGCAATCGTCCAGTTGCCCAGCACTGGCTTATCAGACAGCCGAAGCTCTCCGGAGTAAACTCCCTTGATCGGCATAACATCGACGATCTGGGTTATCCGGTTCTGTGCTCCATCGTGGATCTCAATCTGTATGGGCTTGTAGATCCTGGCAGGTTGGGTGTTTCTATCAAGGAAGAGCACTCGGAACTGCACGAGATCCGCGGGCTTGTAGGTGGCCTTGTCAGTTTGGATGTATATGGAGGTGGCATCCTCGACGTACTTAAGCTGGGTGGATTTTTTAAAAACGATGCCCCGGAGGCCCTCAGCCGTGAGCTGGTAATTTCCGCCGGTAAGTTTCGGGACGGGAAAGGCAATTATTTGCGTGGACATGGGCTGAAGCTGGACTTCCTTAATTTTTTATAGGAGGGTCCACTTAAAGTGGCCCTGATGAGACTAGGTCCATCTGCATTATGCAGGGTAACAACAACGTTGTAATTGATGTTGGACCTTATGGTGTCTGGCACCACAACCGAATAGGTGCTGCAAAAAAACCGTACGTTTGATTAAAGTTTTAATATCCATTTGATATAATTTATACCTCTATACCAACTGAGTCTCCATTGGGCTTTAATTGCAAGGCTAATGTTTTTTTTTCTTAAACAAAAAAAAAGGGAATGATGGAATCTAGGGACTGATTTGATAGTGTTTTTTTTTAATAATTTTTACTTTTTATGTCTCTTTATAAATAATTACTGTCACCCCGAAGAACTTTGCGATTATCAGAAGAGATAAAAAATAAAGAATTTGTTCAGAATCCAGAAATTGGAGGTCTTACATGTATGTACGTATCTATCCTGGCTGGATTTGTAAATGTTGCATTAATTTTTTAACATAGTTAAAAAGCCATAGAAAGAATCAATCATTGTAGCTACTAACGACTTTGTAAAAATATTCCACTTGTTAATTTTATTTAATTTTGCACAATTGATCTAATTATTCCAAATTTATATCAAACTTACCCCTGTCCGTAGTTAGTACATATGGAAAAAGCAAGCATCCCAGTAGCAGCCACAATGCTTCGCAGTGCATTCTTTAATTAATTATTAAAAAGAAGCTTTTGAAGCCGATCAACTAAAAGCAGACAATGAGATGTCGCCGTCGGTTGCGACTCATTTATATAGGTCTCTGTGAGTATGACTCGAAAAAAATAAAAAATAAATATATGTGTTTTGCATGGCATTCGGAGAATTCTTTAGATTAAATGAAATGAAGAGGAGATGCTTCATGGGAATTATTATAAAAACAGTATGAAACATAATGAACATAAATGATGAATTGAAAAAGGTCTGTACAAATGTAAATTTTTTGTTTCTTTTTTACATTTGTTTAGGAAATCATTTTAAATTATTATTTACTCAATATGTAAGCTTATTTAAAATCCAGAGCTATGAAAAAAACGCTTCGAACTTCAGATGGGAGAGAAAAATGTTTGCAGAGATTAATTATGTTTCTTGTTCAATGAGAAAGAATGTTATCTCTTATTTTTCCGAGAACTTAAAGATTAAATTTATTTACTTCACTGCGTTTTCTTCGTTGCTTTTTTTACCGTAAATTCTATAAAATATATGAAAATGTAATAAAGAACAAGAATTGTAATTATTTTTGCAATTATTTTTAAATGGTTTTCATTACAGATATATATTGTACAATCTGCAAATGGAAAGAAAACTAATTAAAAACTTTGTGCAAAATTAAAGTTAATTTGGTAAAGATAACATAATGTATATAACAAATTATATTACAGTTGTAAAAATGTTATTTACAATTGTAATACCCTACACGGTTCTATTTGGTTCTCATCACGCTCTCATACCAATAATACTTTATAAAATAATATCTTGAAAAATATGTAGGTGGACCCCTCCATTAAAGTTAAAAAGAAGCCTGAATATCCCCATTGCTACGACTTCACGTCTGTTGAAATAAATTAAGCGAGACTTTTGTTTCTTACAGGTATTCCCCACACTCACCACCCCTTAAAAGCACCGCCAGCCATAACCGCATGTGGTGAAATTAACGCCAGCACATGGCATTACGAGGCCGCATCCCGGATATGCCCCCCGCCCCTCTCCTGCCACAAGCCCAACACACTGAGTACAGGACACAACCCCCGCAGATAGGCCCCCGCCAAGGCATTTCAAATTTTTTATTCCCACACACACTGGCACACACAAATGTTTGTACATTAGCAACATTTGTGCAAATGCTCGACGTCGTCACAGGTGCTGATTATATTGAAAATTATTGGCGAAACATGGCAGCATCGAGCCCCCGTGGAGCTCGGAGGCGTCAATGGGGTTACAGAGAGCTGGGATGGGCTTGGGCTTGGGCGTGGGTTTGGGTTTGTGGCTGCTGCATGTGGACTATAAAAATTGATCGCATACTTTGTGGCGCACCGAGTGTGCTTTGACTGCAGGAGGATAGGCGAGTGCGCTCTGGTCCAATCGTTTCCATTGAACGCGTGAAGTCCTGTCTAGAAGTTGAGCTACTGTTATGTTGTAATTAACTTTCCTAAAGAACCTACTTTAGAAGATCTACTTCTTACCGTTCTATGCAGTCTTATTCATGCAACCCTAACTGCACTTGGTAATAATTTGAAAATTGATGATGTGCGCACAAAGTGTCAAATATCGACACGCGTCAATCGGGAGGCCGCCGGGACTCAGGACCTTCGCTGTGGGAGCCTTGGAGACAGGACAGCCTTCCAGCTCTGAGGAAAATAATAAAGAAGCCATCACGTGAGTGGGGTACAGAAGAAGCGGGAAGAAATTGACAAAAATTGATTGAGCAAACAAGGGGAGAGAGAAGCACAGGTGAAAAAGGGTGCCTAAGGTGTTTCTTAGGTTGCCTTCGGCCCTCTTCTTCCCACTTTATCAAACAATTTTTCAACTTTAAATAATTTCGCTTGAGTTTTTATTGTCCTTCCCTCGAGACAAGCTCCATTGTCGTTGACATGCAATTTAATCTACTTCGCTCATGTGACGCCCCTCACATGCTTTCACGTTCCTTCTGCTAGAACCTGCTAGAACCTACTTCAAGTATGCAAATATGTTTCCAAATTATATCAGACCATTTTTATTAAGACCTGGATGGGGCGAATTAATTTTTCGATTACCAAACATAAGCTCCGTCGATAAGGGCTCTGTTTTACTGTACTCTATGAATTACTATGGATAGCATCATTGATTTTTCTGACAGTTTTGAAGTTGCCATTTAAAAATTAATCACACACCAAAACTCTCCAGGAAAGCTTGTCCATGAACTACACTTACATTTACAAATACACCTGTTTGTTTTAATTGTTGCTGCAACACTAACACCGGAAGAATCTTTTGAAGACACAAAGAGTTGAATTTAAGAAAAGCGTTCATCATGGCCAACGCGGAAATATTTTATTCGGAGTAAGTTGAGCTCTAATCACCTACAAATATAATGAAATGTAAGCCATTGAACTTATAGTTTTGATGGCGGGTACGAGGGCGAGGAAGATGAATGCACAGAGCGGAATGTAGAGGTGCAGCTAACCAGGTGAGGCTAGAAGACATACCTTTTGTCCTAACAAGTTTATCCCACCTCTTCCTAGGACCATGGCGGCTATCATCGATTACAAGATGTTCATTGCCGCCCGTCGCATCCAGGCCTTCTGGCGAGCCCACCGCGACCGGAAGCTGCGCGATAAGCGCTTGCAAGGATGCATTACCATCCAGCGCTCGTGGCGCGGCTTCCGGCTGCGGCGCCAGCTGTGGGTCCTGTACGAGCAACGGCTGCAGGAGGCGTACCTCGATCACCTCAACCTGATGGCCACCCGCATTCAGGCCTTCTTCCGTGGATGGTCAGCCAGGCGGAATATCCACGACATGCTACGCTTGACCCGTATCCAAACGTCCGCCACCGAGGATGTGGTCCATTGCCTTATCGAGACCCTACACCACATAAAGCGAACCGAATATCTGCCAGGTGTCTACTCGCTGATGGAGACGCAGTGCATGTCGAAGGTTGAGAACCTTATTGCCACTATGACGTTTCGATTCTACAACGGTCGAATGACATCGATGATCTCCGCCAAGAAGACTAGGCAGGAGGAGAGCCGCAGGCATTTCCGCGAGTGCCGTTTCCAAACACAGATACCCTATATTGGGCACAACTTCAGTCTGTGCCCCTATCGTGCCTATAGAACAGATTCGGCTGTCGGGAATGAATTGCTCAATCCGCGGATGCTCGACGTTGCCGCCGAGTACGAGTACTTTAAGCGGAGTGTATATCTCCGGAACTTGCATTCACTCTCCGTGTCGCGTGAGTATTCATTATTCAAATCTATGGCAATCAATACTTTTCGCTATACGTATCATTTTCTTTCAGAAAAACGTGACGAGTGCCTTAGCAAAATCAGAGATCGAGAAAGAAAAGCTTCGGAAAAGTTTTGCAACTCCGTCATCACGAGTATGCGTCAGTGGGTGGTCTGGAAGGAGTTCAGTGACGGAATTAGGGGTACTCTTGGTGGCCCGGACAAGCGGGAACGCTTCTTTAGGAGGCTGGGATTGGTGCTTGAAGATTTCAGCATTAACTGTCAATGCGTGGCTCACGTTTTTCCAGTCTACCAATGTCCAGAAACGCCAATCTCCCCAGGCCATGAGGGATAAATTCAAGGTGAATCATATCAGCTTAGATTGTACAATACCTTTGTTTCTTACATGGTTTATTATAAAAAAAACGTTGAGCATTTCTTAGGAGAAACCGAATTAGTTCTTGGACAGCTTCTTATTTTGATTTTGATCCATACGCAGGGCCCGACCGAGTGGCAACATCTGCACTTGACTGCTTACTAATTAGCACCCATTTATTCACCTTTGCCTTCTTTAATTTTACCCCTGCACTCGCCTCCTGGCTTACCCCTGGTCCTGCAACCGCATTCTCCAAGCAGGCAGCCGCATTTTTCATGAGAGGAATTTTCCTTTGTTTTAAGCAGGCATTTAATTTATTTTACTCCCGGCCGGGCCAAGGAAGACCCGGCATACATACACGGGCAATTTGTGAGCTGCGTGGTAAATCTTGGCGTGCTTACCTATAAATATTTGACATGGCTACAATAGCTCCCCCCCGATCCAGAGACGTGGCAGCCACACTTGGCCCAGCCCCCGAGTTAACCTGTCCTGAGCCCACGACATACGTGCAGGAGCGGCTTGGAGTTTCTGGCTCCCCTGGCCTTCCTACGTGACCACGAACTGGGACTGGGATTGGGATTGGGACTGGCTCTGGCTGCGGGATGCGGAATCCGGGATCCGGAGTGCTGCGGGCTGGCAAATTAGATTTGCCTATAATTAATATGCACGATATGTGGCGTTAACTTGTGTGAAAATTACTCGGGCCCTGACGTGACGCGGCGCGATTCGTGTGGAACGCGAGCACAGGAGCCATCTACTCCAATTACCATCTATCTCTTCGCCACTGGCGGCTTGGCGGCTTCGATTGCCGTACCCGCCCGTAAGTATTTCCTAATTAGTTGTTGATGACAAAAATACGTGGCAGACGGTGCAAGTATATTCGAAAATTAAATATGTAAGGAGCTATGCTGCAAAAATCAATTGTCAAATTGGATCTCCATCAAAATAAGTTAGACAAATTAGCCAGCATAAATATGGCACGCTAATGTCATTTTTTTCATGCATTCGGGAAGAGATTACTGTTGATTTCCAGATATTAATTATGAAAAGCCAAACACCAAAAAGGTTTCTTAAGAAAAAGAATTTTGTTGAAGGGCTGATGAGCTCTGCCCAGATTTCGCATGTTGAAGGAGAACTCCAAACAGCTTTTAGCTTTCTTTTCACGTGAAAGTATATGCAATACCTACTTTATATTTTTGTATTGTCCAATTTTGATGGCGTCTTGGAAAAAGGCATCTCTGCGGAAATGATCTTCCTGGCCCTCTCTTATTCCAGCCAATTGGGATGTTGCCCCAGACAAACTTTTAAGTTTTTAATTAATTTGTTTTGCTGCGGTCCCGAAAGCCGCAGCGCAGCATTTTTCCCACCTCCAGCCTCGTTGCCCCTCTGCTCATTTTTCTTTCGGCGGCGAAAGCAAAAAAAAGGTTAAGTGGCTTCATTTGGCAAACATTTACCGAGACTCAAGCTGGAAGTTCCCCAGGCACTCATCAATGCCCAAGTGTGTAAGACTTTTAATAGGCTTTTGTGTGGAAAATAAATTGATGCGGTGCACCTGTAAAGCGCTCCAACAATGGGGCTGCCTGAGCCAGACGAATGTCTGTCCGTGTGATGCGGCCAACCGCATCCCAGCCAGAAAGTTCTGGGTCGGAGGGAGGAAGGGCAACCGAAATTCAGTTAATTTTGAGTAAATTGTTAGAAAATTGTTGTTGCCCCAGAACTGGCTGGATGGGCGGCTCATGTGGGCATGGCTTGTGGCCTTGACTCGAGAATTATGGCATTTAATTACAAAGTGTATTGAGATTCCCCCTTTCATAGAACTTTAACCACTTTGCCAGAGTTGTGTGTGGGTCTCAATGTCCTTGCTCTTATCCCAAGCAAACCAGAGAAATCAAAATATAAGAATATTTCTAATCAAACTTGACCTGTTTTAATTGTAACTTTATTTCGGAGCCCTAAAAAGTCGTAAAATACCCCAGGATATATTGCATGGCCGCTGGGTTATCTTGTTGCACCAGATGTCCTGCCCTGAAGACCCAGAACATGCTGAGCCGTCCTCCGTGCTTCTCATAGCCCTCGAGGACTCCCTGGATGCGAAAGGGAGTGCGTGGTGCCTCGAGGTAATCCCGTCTATTTCGCCACTTTAATCGTCCGATCCAACTGACAGTGCCGGGAGTGGCACAGAGTAAGTCCAGTATTCCAGAAAAGATTCCCACTCGGATCGGGGTTTCATCCAGGAGTCTGGTAACTAGAATTACCATTTCTATTACCATAAAATGAACTTAAAAATTGAGTTGGCAGCCATAGCACTTACCAATTTTGGTGGCTGGCTTAAAGATTTCCTCACTGAGTTGCATGAAAACCGTGGCGTTTTGCTCCATCCAAACAGGCTTCTTCTCGAGACCCAGCGCCCGCGTGACATTTGTCCGGATAAAGTTGCTCATCTCCGGATCCTCGCCATAGCGGTAGATCTCGTCCTGATGAACGCGCCGCTGGGTGTTGTAGATGAAGACCCCGCCTGTCCTGGTGGCGATCTCCTCCTGAATATCACCCACCTTAGCCAGGGCGCTTTGCCACTGCTCGGCGTAGACGAGTGCAGCCAACTCACCGGCCAGTTGGGACACTCGACGGTACCCATCGCCGTCCACAATGCCCATCTGGAGCAAGTAGGGAGCGTAGGCCAGGATACTGTCCAGGGGCGAGGTCCAGGGATTTCCCACCACCACAGACTGAAGATGGCAATCCACTCGTCCGCGCTGCTTGGCCAGGTGCAGCTCTAGCCCGAATTCTGGCGCCATTTTCCCGCCGTAACTCTCCGAGAATATGTGCAGGTGCACTCGGCGGAAGAGCGGATGCTTTTGCAGAAAGCTCTCCATCAGAGTGACCAGATCGAGAGCTATCTGCCGGTTGGTACTGGCATACTGTCCGTGATCCTCCACGTAAGCGAAGCCCGTGCCCACGGGGCTGTCTACAAAGAGCACGTTCACATGCCGCACCCAGCTGCTCTCCCGTATCCGGCCTTCGATATCGATGGGTCCCAGTTGCTCGAAGCAGCCGCTGCCCGTGGATGCCACCCCCGGTCCGCCCTGCAGCCAGATCACAAGGGGTCGCTCCACAAAGCTACTCACGTTGGCCGTGGTGTGGAAGAGCCAGTAGAAGAGATGAGCACCCTTGCGCACCTCAACGTAGTCCCAGTCTTGGTCACCAGGTCCCATGCCGACGCGCCCTAAGACAAGAGTCCTCCGAGGTATTATTTAATCACATCAAAGGATGATCCCTGTACTCTTTTCATTCATTCAAGACGTACCCACCTTGCACCGAGATCAGCGTTATGTGAAACAACAGAGCCCCTAGCCATAATTTTTTCTTATTGTGAGTTAGCTGCATTTCGCGATCACAGGTCTTCTAAGGGGAAAATGGAACTAAACGCGAATATTGACTGCCTCGGTGGCGAATGCGCACTGATCTGGCAAGCTTTTGGCTAGTGGCTAATTATAAATTGGTAAACATTCAGAGTTCAGATAAACAAATATCAGAACAAAACAATGGCAAGGCGAGACGAAGATTTCCCTCTATTCAGTTCTCACGTTTAGTGCTTATATTCTGTCCGAACTAGAATTTTGCACTTAAAATGTTCTCATTGATTGCCAAGTACAGGGTATTATACAATACACACCCCCAAAAAGCTGATGAGAAAGCTTCTTGGGAAAACGAAGAGAATTCGAAGGAAGTTGCAGTGTCTGAGACCGCAATGTGTACCCCTTAACAAAATCTAGCTGCCGAAATATAAACATTGACCCTATCTGCTATTTAGGAGGCCGGAACTCACTCCATTTGTTTACAAAAAGAAAACAAAAAGAAAAACTATATGTGGCATCTGGCGCTGCAATTGGATCCTCTTCGAGGCGTGATTATATTTATTAATTGCTTTAGTTTATTCGCCTAACTAATCACTTGCAAAACATAAAACATTATTAGGAGGAATCGCTTTCATACTGTGTGATGGCTTTCAAGACATACTGCATAGCCGTCGGGTTGTCTCCTGGGGCCAGGTGACCCGACCGGTTGATCCAGTACATCCCAAACTTGCCTCCGACTTTCTCGTATCCCTGCAGTCTGCCCTCGATCACGATGGGAGTGCGGTGTGCCTGCACATACTCGCTCTTATGTTTCCAGGTCCAGTCCTTGATTAAGGCCAAGGTGGCTGAGGTGGGAACCAGGACATCCAATTGCCCGGAATAAATATTAATCGAGACGGAGGTCTCGTTCAGCAATCGTGGAACTAAAAGATATATATTATTTAAACACACCCTTATGTAAAAGTTATTAAAAAATTGTCTCACTCGTCAACATATCCGATTGCATGCGTTCTCCGTGCAGGGTGAGGAAAACCTGTATTACCTGCGCTGCGAAAATACTGCCATTAATCTGCAGGGCCTCACCCACATCCTCCTGCATGAATCGCACCAGGTCATCTCCATAGCCGTAGGTGCGATCTTCGGAAGGATCCACATGGGTCTGAGTGTTGTACATGAAGACCTCCCCGGTGATGTTCTGCATAAGTTCGAACCACTGAAAATACTCATCCGTGGCCTTCTCGAACTCGTGCATCTTGAGAGCGCTGAGAATCCGTTCCTCCTGCTCATCGATCTGCGCCACTCCGTCCTCGTCGATCAGCCCGTTCACGAACAGGTAATTGGAGTGTTCCCGGCAGATGTGGCGGGTGGATATCCAGGGATTGCCCAAGTTGACCGACTTCAGGGTTCCCGGTGCTGCCAACTCACCCATGCTCATGGCCTTATCCAGGCGAATGGCCAATGCAGGTGCCATCTTGCCGCCGTAGCTCTCTGAGAATATGTGCAGCGGAACCTCCTTGAACTCGCTGTGGCGCTTGTAGAAGTACATCATGAAGGTCATTAGGTCTTCAGTCAGCTCCTCGCTATTGGTGACCAGCAGGCTGGAGTTGTCTACGTAGCTGTAGCCCGATCCAACAGGACTGTCCAAGAAGAGTACGTTCACGTGCTGCACCCAGTTCCCTTCGCGAGGTTCACCCTTGACATCCACGGGTCCCAGCTCCTGGAAGTTGCCCAAGGCGGAGGAAGCGCCTCCGGGTCCGCCCTGGAGCCAGAGGACCAGGGGACGCTCCGTGTAGCTGCTCACGTTGGCGGTGGTGTAGTAGAGCCAGTAGAACATATGCGCTCCCTCCCGGACGTCCACGTAGCCCCAATCCTGCTCCCCGGGTCCGAAGCCACTTCGGGCACTCGTCCAGGGGACCCCTAAAAGGAGGAGGCTCACGATCGCCAGGTAACCGCACCACATTCTCGCAGGCGTGTCCGTCAATTACTGGAATCTTTGCTCTTAAACTTTCGTCTATTTATTGGACTGGTTCGGAAACGATTACGCGTTCGAATGTTCGAAATTTGACCATGAAAAGTTTATGTTCTTTGTTTCTGCTGAGAGGTATATATAGACAATTTGTTTGGTGCTTGACCCCTGCATTCAGAGAAATACCTTGTGAGATTCTTAACTAAATTTGGAAGGGTATATTTAATATTTTTACATTGTTTCTACATTTAAATATACCCAACTCCAAGCTTTAAAATAAATAAGTAAGAGTTCTTATATATATTAATCATTTCTATATGAATCAAACTTGTTTCTACCCATTAATTTTCACAATTAAAAATAATTAAATAAACAAACAGTTAAATTCTGGTTTCGTAAAACCCCATTTATATGGTTAAGTTCTATGTTTGGTCGCGCCCCTCGACTTTCACTTGCTACTTGCTTTTTTCTCCAGGTGACCACCTCTGGGCAAGTTTGGCAAACAATTCCCTTGTGTTTATTCAATGCCAATTTATGGCATCCCAATTTATAAACAATTCTCTACAGCGATCTGATTCAAGCAGTCTTTCAAATTTATTTCTCTTAGCATATTCATTAGTGCAGCTATAAATGGTTTCTTTATACTTTCTTAATTTTTATTTAATTAATTTTATTTAGTCATGATATTTTCTATATATTTAAAAATATATTTAGTATTTCAGGTCGACCTATTTAAAAGTATCGCTTTCATAGCTGTCATGATGTCTTCTGGGGCCAGGTGACCCGATCGGTTGATCAAGTACATCCCGAACGTGCCTAGGTGAGACACATGTTGCAATTATAAATAAATATAGATCAATTATTCAATTAAAGAAGCATTTTTTGGGATTTGGCCTTCACACTCTAGTTCTTGGTTAATTAAATTAATATCTGAAATGGTTTAAGAGACTTCTCTTAAAGTTTGTAAATCTCATTACCTCATAGAGTTATTTGGCAAGGATAAATGGCTTTAATTTTATTACCAAACATTCAGAGAGCAGAAACTGGTTTTAGCAAATACTAACTGTCATATATAGTTGCCACGGAAGTATCCGCATAAAGGCTGTAGAGGGCAAGAAAAGATTGAGCGGCAAAGACGATGCAATCGATTTGCAAAGCTTCGCTCACGATGTCCTCCAAAAACTGTTTGATATCTTCACCATAGCCACCGGATCCACATGGGTCTAGTGACTTCCAAGGAGAAAACACACTATCATTCAGAAACTGCAGAGCATTCTCCCACGAGATCGGCCAATTACTGCATTAGCTGCAACGAATTTTTGCCTATTTATCGCACTGATTTGAACGCAAAATTGTTACTCTCTTGTTTGCTCTGCTTTCTTGTAAATATTGAAAAGCTTGCAAAGATGCACTGAAATATAGATATCTTCTTAATAAACTTACCAAGTGCATTAATAATTGAAAAATGTTTATTTGATGTTTAATTTATAATAATATTTTATTTTAAAAATAGTTTTTGCTGTCCCTAATTTTTATTTTTATAGAATATCATTGGAATTATTTTATTTTTCTGGCGGTTATTTCATTATTCGGTCTGTGATATACTTTAGGGGTAAATATGGTACATTTGGTAGCATATTTTAAGAGGTATGTGTATAATTAATCTTCTGTTCAATTTATTTTAATTGAAATTTATTTAAATTTATTATTCGATTTGTGTTTTGCTACCTTATTGTGTAAACTTTATCATTGTAAGGAGATATATCAATTATAATCTTTTAAAGCTATACCTGCAGAAAGAAAAATATGTACTAAATGCAAAAAATGTTCAAATTGTTGGGAACTCTTCTTTTAATATCTCGAATGTCCGGCTTACGATTTCATTTAATTTATTTATTTTTTTTTTATTTAACGCCAATGTTTTTGTGTCTTAATTGTCAAAGTTAAAATTGCTTCATTTCAATTCCACGGAGTCCACAACAATGGACACTCTGGGTGCCAGGAAAATGCCTCGCAGAGAAGGAGTGGAAAATGAATCCGATTTCCGCCACTCTGTGGCTCCACCCGGAAAAGTAATTAACAAATGTTTGTTTGTTCCATGCAAGTCAAAAACAGGACGGCGAAAAAAGCTCACGATGCGAGCCAAGCAAGGAGGACTGCTTTTGACAACTGCAAGTGGTTGGACCCCTTCGCAACTGCCACATCATCACCCACTACACACCACACACCACCCACCACACACCCCTCTTCCCACACAGGCCACTGCCAATTTTCTCCGAGTCACAGTGCAGTTTTAATGAGAGCAGCACCTGGCGACTGGCGACTGGTGACTGGTGACTGCCGGCTGCCTGCTGGCGGCTACTGTCATCAGTGGCAAGTTGGCGATGCCAAGCGACCGCAAACGGAAATCAATTTGCCACGGGAGCAAAACCCAAATTGCCAGTTGAATGCGTTTTCGATTGTCCATTAAGCAGTTCCTGCAGCCGGCTTTTTGCCGTCTGCCAAAAGTCATTTTCAAGCAATTGGCCTGACTGGCAAGGCAAGGCAACAGCGCGCTCAGAGCCAAAATGGGAAAAAATGGTCTGCTCCCGACACGGTCTCTTTGAAATTTTATTAGTCTGAATATTGAATAGAAATATTTTTAAATTCTAGATCGATCTGTAAGTTATGTTTATTTAATTATGGGTATTTGCTATAAAACTTCAATAATTTAAGGTACCTCTGAAACTCTAAGATACAGCGAAAGGGAAGGAAAAATATTGATGCATAGTGTATCTGAGCCCTAACCCCATCAATTAGTTCATGACTTTGGGTAGCTGGGGAAATTACTTTTTAATATATTAAGCTTTTATGCTAAAGATATTTGCATCTCTGCAAGTATTTTTTTTAGAACACACACGCTCAATAAATTTGTGCATTTGTGCCACGCCCTCGTATGCAGATTTGCAGCATGGGGAAATGCAGATGCAGTCGTCTGTGAAACAGCAGCTAACACACACATCCCACACACACAGACTGTGTTCAATGCCGAATGACTTTTCTAGGACACACCACACGCACACCCTTTGACGCTGTTTTTGGTGTCACTCCGCCAATTTCGAGGACTCCAAATGTCTGTCTCCGTCTCCGGCATTTGGTTGTTTTTGTCACGTAAATTACAAGTTTTTCAGCTTGGAACTTGGCCTTTGCCCTCTTTGCCTCCGTTTCCGTTTACATCGCTGACTCTGCCATTTTTCACACTTTAGCCGAAAACGGTTGCCGGGGTCGACCGAGTTATAAATACTGGTAATGGAAAATCGCCGGCAGGCAGACACAAATTCAAGAACAATGAAAATCTTGCGGAATTAATCTTCCGCAAAAGGTTGTTGTAATTAGATTGAGTGAATTTTAATGGTGCGATTTAGAGCATCAAATAAAGATTGATGGCCTGCTGGAATTCAGATACATACTTTGCAGGCTATGGGAGAAAATCATGGCATTACATTTTTAGTCCTTTATTTGAGGGAAAATCCCTGGAAAATGTACAATTCAAGAAGCTACTAATTTACACAAGAAAGCAATAAACAGATAAATACTTACCAGGTTGTTCTTACACCCATAATGTATACTTTTATTTGTTTCAATAACCTTTAATTTATTTCAATAAAAACACTTACTTACTTACTGGTGATGAAATAAAACAATCTTTATTTGGCTTCCATCAAGGCTCCCAACGCACTCTCCCAACTTAGGGTCACACTAAAGTTATCTCTATGGCTAAATACGTAGTTGTACAGTTTTTCAAACAGACACAGACGAACGAAACACTTAATCCGCCCAGAAACCACAATCTTAACGATAAATCCTTGACAAAACCCAACGGAAGCAAACATTCAGAATCCTGCTTATAGAGTAGGTTTGTATGTGTTCCTGTGAGAATGTGCTCGATGTTTATTTACACTTGACTTAAGGGTTAGAGAGGTCCTCGCAGGGATTCGCACGAGTGTTGATGCGGGATGCCGCATTTCCGAAATGCACTCGCCCCTACAGATACTTAACATAGGCATAGGTATATGTGAGTAGGTATAGTCGGTATGCTGGGGACCGTTCACTGTCGATTCGCTATTTGATTCACTAAATATGGGTTCCGTAATTGCCGAGCCCGAGCAGGGCTCCTCCACTCGTCCAAGTCCCGCCTGAAGTCCATCTCTCCTGACAGTGACCGGCTTATCACCGCTCCATCCTGTCGGAACGCTGGCCGGCCAACAGGTTACCCCACTGACCCAGAATCCTGATGGCCGGAAAGAGCAGGATGAGCACGGTGCGGTTCCAGTCGAACGGACTCGGCCTCAGTCCGGCCGCGGCATCTGAAATAACACACAAAACAAGATTGGTTTAGCCCTGGCGAGAGATTGAAATCTGCTGCGGGAAGGGCACCCGGCGGCCAAATTAATCTTTGAATTAATTGCTTCCAGCTTAGCGCAGAGCATTAATAAATCGCTGCCACACAAGGATGTGGGGGATCGGGCTAATAAGGTGCTCGGTCCTTTTTCGTTAACTTTGATTTAATGCCCCACAGTTTATCACTGTAATGGCGTGCGTGTAAATGTATCCCCTGTGCATTTGTTCAGTTGGCCAAAAACCATCAGGCCCAGTTGGGTCAATAGCCTTCCCTTTCGCCCCTCATTAGGGCGTGGTTGTTGCCTGTCTGTGGGCTAATTTTTAAACAGCAGCCACAACAGAAAAAAACCTCAGCCTCTAATGACTGGAACTTAATCATATGGGATATCTATTGATTACCTTTGACAATGGTTAAGACAGTATCTCTGCATAGGAAAGTATACTTTAAATTGGTGATGGCTTAAATATCCTTTAAATTAGTGCCTGAATTAGTAATATTTAGCATTGATTCCTTGTTCAGATATTGGTGTTATAGTATAGTTTAGGGAAATGTAATCTTACTCACTTGAGTGAATCAGGAAAAGTTCGTTGTGCTCGTCGGCCTCACCAGGCTGATCA